CACCCACACAAACGCGCGCGCGCAATCGGGTTTGATAAAGCACAGGTAACAAAAAGTTTCGCTTCAATCCTTTTTTTTCAGTTTACCTGTTTTCTAAAATACCGGCCCAAAGTATTTCCCCTTTAAACCAGTTTGTGGTAGAGCGGGGGGGGGGGGGGGGGGGGCACACAGAAAGCATTCCCTTCTTCGTACCTCCGGGGTGGTGCCGAAACCTCAGCCACCAAACAACCGTACGCACCTCTGTCTTGTGATCCCTTCCGTTGACGAGGGTGTGGGCCACGTACCCGTCGTCCTCGGCGGCATCTGGTGGGGCCCCTTTTCGCGGGATAAAGGTCGACTGCGAATGACATCACACGAGAGAGGCCGTACAGTACAAAACAACAGACACCGAGTGAAAGCAGTCCTAAACGTGTTGTAATGCACTTTTCACGTCCTAATCGTGTGCGATGCACTTTTTGACATGTTGACAGAGGACAAAACGACGACTTCGTACTTTCATAGAAAATAACATAAGTACAGCTGTACAAACCAACAGCACCGAGTGACACCAGTCCCAAACGTGTGTACTGCACTTTTTACACTTTGACAGAGGATAAAATAACGACTCAATACCTTTCTATACAAAATGTACATCCAATCACAGAAAGAGTTCCCGTTCGGTATACTACCACAGCAGTACAAGGGGGTGCGTTCAAGTCGTTACAGTGAGTGGAAACCGGCTGGATATAGGCCATATTTGAGTCTGTTTAAGCTACTAAACTGAACTGTCATCAGCGTTGTCATGTTTCATCCAGAGGACAGCGGGCGCAGTCCTCTATTACAAACTATATATCCCATCGACTCCCCTTGGGGCTGTTTTGACTCGAAAATCATCCTCGCCATCGCCATCGCCACGGGTTCGCTACTGGAATGGTACCAGTGACAGTATACCGTCTAACTGCGTTGTTTACCGTAGATGCTCGTGTCAACCGTGGTTGATACTGCTGCTCAGACTTTTCTTTTTCACCTCCCCCAAAAACTCGTGGGGTTCGGGCATCCACTTCTCGATAGTCCCCTCCACTGTGTCGACCTTCATCACCCCCTGCACGGGACATGCCTCGTCGCTCTCGTTAGACCCGCAGACCGCCCATATGTACCGGTGCTCCTGGCACGAGACCTGGGGGAGGGCGGGGGGGGGGGGGGGGGGGGGGAATTTTTATG